ACATTCTGATGGTCTTTTTTGTTGTTTCCCCACATTGTCGAGAAGATGTAAATGTTATGTCCCGACATATCTCCACCAAATTCATTTTCATAGGTAACTTCTTCAGGCTTAGTGTTTTCCACTTGAAATGGCTTTTCTATGGCTTTGAAGGAACAAGTAATAGGTTTATTCCATGCTGAAAAGAGAAGAAACAAAACGCAACGTTTTGGCTGTGGAGCCTTCTTCGGGTGTATGGTTTTGTGTGCTATTGTTTACCAGCGAGCATCTATATGTCTGGTGACCCTTTGCACTGACATTTCTGCCCTCATTACCCCAGTGGTCTCTTTCCTTCCTCCTGAGGCAGGCATGACATTTTCATTCAGCTATGTCAGTGCACATTTTCCTTGGCTTTATATTCACATGCTCACAGAAGCAAAACATAAAAGAACATCACCACAATCACATCCACTTTAGCAGGTCTGCAAACCATTCTAACTTTTATGTGAAACAAAACAATATGCAAATGACTAAGATGAGTGTTTCATGTTTGGTGTATTGATTGTTCAGAGACAAAGTGGAGAAAACACATTTTACTGATAATTTGTTTCTGTCTTTAGCCAGAGGCTTATTGTTTCTTCCTTTGTAAACACTTGAGTTACATATTTGTTTAACATATCAGCCATTTCTCTTTAATTATTAAAAACTATTAAACAATTAAAGTATGGTCTGAACACAGAATGTGGCAGGCGAAGTCATTTACTGCCGTCATTTATTACTGGTATCTATGTTGAACACATGTGTGGCCTGAGATGAACTAAACAGCTGAGAAGCTAATACAAGTAAATATGAAAATAATACATAATTTAAAATATTTACTTCTAAAACAAATTGTTTGCTTTCTTTTTTTCCACATAAACAGTATTGTTTTTAAATGTGTTGCATAACACAGTAACTATGCATAGCAATAGTTGCATAGTAATGGATCATTCAGTGAGTGAGAGATAATAGGTACAAACAATTGTTTTTAATATTTCAAGAGCGATAGACAAATATTTTGTGACAGAGATGGACAGCAAACTTTTTCTTGAGTGCAAAAACTCTCTTGCTGTTGTGAAAGAGTAGATGTTAAATGTATTGGTATAGCAAGTGTTTTATTTCAACAGTCAGCCTTATATTTACCAGTACTTTAAATGAGCTAAATCTTTTACATTGCAGCCTACACATTGACTTAATCTGAAATCCATCAAGTATTACTTCTGATTTTATTCATTAAATCGCTTTTATCAACAATAGTCCTGTAATATAAACCATTACATTTGAAAGAATCGCTGGTTATTGTTACTGTTCATGGCAACACAAATATGTGATGATGAATCAGGTGAATATTGTTGTCACAACATTACCTTAAAATGAGGTAACTTTATTTCATTAACTGTGCAGTTGTTACATTATAGCCCAAGTCCTATAATATCTGTGATATACAGCCCTTACTACCGTAAACTTTGGACACTCTTGTTCTAAACGTTTTCCACTTTCACCACTGAGACATATAATTTCATCCTTCATTGTTCTTTAGTTGTTGTATTGCTGAAAATACTTTTATTGTTTATTTTAGTCTGCATTGTAAAATTATTTTCTGTTGTTTACGGACCGCGTGGAAACACTCATAACAGCCTCCAATATGCTGAACTTTATTATATCAGTTAGTTTTAACGGTGAAGACTTATTTAGAGAACAATTTTGTAGTGTGACCAATCCTATCATTGTGAACAGGCCTATATATTTATCTGCAAAGAACTCTAAAACACATAAACAAAAAATTAAAAATTGTAACATGCAAGTCCTCTTTATGACATTTTCTACCTTTTTTAAATGAATGTTGAAAATCCTTTTTTAAATGAATGTTGTTTTATTGCATCATTTTGCTTTATTGTATTTCTTTGGCTGGAGAATCTTTTAACACTGTCCTTGAATTGACCTAAAAGATCCAAGGTTTAATGTCAGATCAAACTGGTCCAACAGATCCAACTCTAAATATCAAAATGTGTTTTGACTGTGTGTATTTGTGTATATGATTGGTTGTGTGTGGTGGGGGTGTGTGGGCAGGTAGCTTTTCCAATTGCGTTTTTGTGTTAGGGCCTGAACCCCTAAATATCATGCCGTACTCTTGATCTGATGTTAGAAATCCAATTACGTCATACTGTAGCTTTATGAAGCATGACTTGCTGTGCTGCCTCACTTACTGCAGACCATTTATAAGCTTGTGTGAAGCTTTTTCCTCTCTTATGATAAAAATAATGTTCCTGACTAATTATAGCAACACTGCATGGAGAGTAAAGGGAATACTGTAGCCTGTTTTAGATTTACTGCCCCCTCCCCTTCGTGCCAATTACTGTTATCATCACTGTTACCAAGGAAGATCTGCATACAACATGAACCCATGTCAATGGTGCTGTCATGTGCTGTTCGTGGCAATACCTTTGTGGTATTGTGAATGTCATGAATGATGACATTCATGATGACTGACATTCGGTGTCTGTTTAACAATGCACGTTAAACTCAACAATAAAGAACATGTGTATTAATGCAGATGCAATTATTAATGCAGTGCAATTCATACAGTATGTAACCTTTATATCTATAATAAACTTTTGAAGATTTAGAGAATTCATACGTTACCAGAAAGCTGTTTGTTCCTGATAAAGTTTATAGCAACCTGGACCCAATCCCAGAAGCATAGACCACACAGGATGAGATGTCACTCCATCACTGAGCACACACAAGTACAAGCACACCAACACAATTTAGAAACACATGTGTCACCTATGTCTTTGAAAGGTGTGAGTAAACTGTAGCACCTGCTGTGTGCAGTCATGCTAAAACCTATACTATTAAGCTGTCTGATTTGAAGAATCATTTTATAATAGTATACAGTACACAGAAGCCTGATCCTGTCAGGTCACAGAAGTTAAGCAAGGTTATGTGATGGTGGTGGACCAGTAGGTGGCTCTACATGTGTGTAACTTTGAGATCCTTTCACATAACAAATGCTACAGAAATATAAGCAATTAAAGACATTTCCTTGTTGGATTTCTTTTTAATAAGAAAACTACATTTACTTCAGTAATACCAAAGACTGGATTCTTTACCTGTGGTGAAGAACCCATAGAGATATGAAACAATTAGATTTTTTCATTTTTCTTGTGGCAATAAATAATAAAATAAGGAAATCAAATTAATGTAATATTACTGGAACTGGCAATTACTCTTCCCTACAAGTGTAGAAAAGACTGGCACAGGATTGACTTTGGTGCTGTTATGGGTGGCTAAACGTTTCACTTAATCTTTTCAAGCATTGATTTAACTGACGTAACTGCTCATCTCTTCTGACTTGTGTCTACAAGGCATTTAGCCTTGAGGTGCAGCTAATTGAATGAGGGTGGCACTGTTTTGTGGTTGAGTCAGCATTGCCAATGTGATGGCAATGTTTTGTTGCAGTCCACTAATTGTTTAGACAGGGATCCTGGGTGCTCCTGCCTCATTGACTTGAATGCAGAGAATAGGAAAGACTTATTATATGCTCTTAAAAAATTAAATCAGTGAGTGATTCTGGATTCTGCTCGTTATCCATCTGCCACCACCTTAGTAAGACTCCTTACCTGTATCAGAGCCCCTAAGAACTCACACAGCCTGAATAACATAGATCCCCAAGCATTCATTTACATTTTTAAGAACCATTGTTTTGATTCTCCTATTTTGGTACATTTTAAAATCTGTACAACACATCTGGATAATTTCCTAGATGATGGTTCAACTCTGGAGGCAGACTAATAAATGGTTAGGGTTGAGCCAGTGAAACAAACGTTGGCAGTCAGTGTGTTAAAATAAGTTTTTCCTGTGCTTTTCCCTTCTTCCCTCCAGACTGAAGCTCTAACATTAACTGTGATCCGACTACAGTAACATTAAAATGGGTGATTGTCTATAATATGCTAGTGGATTTCATGTTTACAATGTCTGAATTAACACTGTTACCCAAAGTTTAATCTCCATCCCAGAATCTGACAGTGTCAGAATCTGTGGTCTTCATATTCCTAACATCAAATATTCTCACCTCTGATGGATTTTCTTTCACAGCATCATGACTTGACCACAGCAAGAGGTCAAGGTTGGAAGAAAATTACCCTCAGTGTAATCAGCTGCACCTGAAAGCTAATGTTATTTACTTGCAAGGGCATTACTGTTTGCCTGCAAATGTGTTTCAGGAGCCTGGTTTTGATGTCTAGTATGAAAGACAATAATGGGGACCCACAAGGTCAAACCTTCAAAGTATCTTCCAGTGGCTCATTGACATTCTCACTATCAGCAGTGGAATCTGACAGGGTTTTAGTCATGCAACTGTGTTAGAGACCCCTGACTGATCTGCAGTGTTTATCCTTCCTTTGTGAAAATTTCCACTGATTACACACTCACTCATTTCAAAATAAGATGCACTTTATAGCCTCTTCATGTTGGATAGCTGGTGTTTCTAACTTGAACAGTACGGTATACCTCTCTGTAATCACTCTACTGTTCAATCATTTCACTTTGCATGGCTGGTAATTTTTAGAGGGGGCTTATAACAATTGAAATAAATGGACTTGCATGAAACCACATATATACTGTTATTTTACAGTCTCTTAAAGCTTTTTCGAATATGTGTGTTTCAAGACTGAAACATTATTTTTATTTGTAGTTACAAGAAACAATAAGGTAATTAACAAGTAAATATCTAGATTAAATTCTTGAACGCAATAAAACCCTGCAGACAGCTTGTGTATTATTTTTTGTGTATTTTTATAGACACAAAAAAGAAGATATACATTTCTCCTCACCGTGCGCAGATAGAAGACTATGATTTATTAACAATATTAACAAAGTTGTTTTTGATAGAATACATTTGGAATTGGAATGCCACAGATAAAGTGGATAAATGCAGGTAATGTATCTTAAGGGCAGTTTGCCATGTCTTTGTCTTTGTCCAGGTGGAGATTGAAAAACTGGACTACCACCACTACCTGCCTTTGTTTTTTGATGGGCTGTGTGAGACAGTGCACCCTTATGAGTTCTTCGCACGACAGGGCGTTCACGATATGCTGGAGCACGGAGGCACCAAGATCCTCCCTGTCATCCCACAGCTGATCATTCCCATCAAGAGTAAGTCTAGTCTGGACAGGGTTACTACGCTCATCCCACAAACAAGAACATATAGAACATATTCTGAATTCTGCACTGATAATTGGTATTTTTCAGATCCATGTTTTTAGTTACCTGTTATTAAGTCTTTCAATAATGCATCCAAGAGAAAGTTTTTCCTTCATGGTCACCGGGAGCATCTGTGAATACCTAAAAGCTGCAATGACGTACTCTAATAATAATAATAATAATAATAAACTTTATTTTATATAGCGCCTTTAAAGGTGGCTTCTCAAAGCGCTTTACAGAATGACAACAACAATAAATAAAAAGAATACACAAGATAAAACACAATTACAATATATAGAGGAGACCGTGGATGGTGGTACTAAGAAAAGCAGAGGGGTGAAGAATGGAACCAGTTAAGTAAAGGCTTTTCTAAAGAAGAGGATTTTGAGTCTAGATTTGAAGGAGTTTAGAGAAGGCGACTCTCTGATATCCTTGGGGAGAGAGTTCCAGAGCTTGGAGGCATAACAGGAGAAGGCCCTGTCACCCATACAATGTAGACGGGCTTGGGGGACATTAAGGAGAGCAGATTTAGAAGAGCGAAGGTTACGAGGTGGGGAGTACAGTGATAATAGTTCAGACAGGTACTGAGGTGCCAAGCCATGTAGAGCCTTATACAATAGGTGAGCATGAGGATTTTAAATTCTTCACCGAATTTGACCGGAAGCCAGTGCAAGGACTCCAGGATAGGAGTCATGTGATCATTAGCATTACACCTGGTCAGGATTCTGGCTGCTGAGTTTTGGACATACTGCAGTTTGTTCAAAGTAGATTTAGATACCCCAGCGAGGAGAGCATTACAGTAGTCAATTCAAGAGAACACAAATGTGTTGATCAGCTTTTCAGCCACAGTTAGTGATACAGTAGCATAGGGCGTAGTCTAGCGATATTTCTGAGGTGAAAAAAAAAATGTTTTGACAGTATGCTGCACATGTGGGTCGAATGTTAAGCCAGAATCGAATATAACCCCAAGGTTTTTCAATTTAGAGTGAAGTTCAAGTACAGAACCGTCTACAGATAGGGTTACAGGACTGGCTTTACGAAGTTGAAGGGGGGTGCCAATAAGCATGACTTCAGTCTTGTCGCAGTTACTCTACCGTTCGGAAGCACTTAGTGTTTTGTAATATGAACAACCAGTCGCTGGTCACATTTTCACGTGGGCAATGAAAATGCCACAATCTTGGTATTGCCCTTCACTGTCTGACCTTCTAAGCTTCCAATGCAAGCAAGGCTTCAGACCTTTTACTGCCTTCAGCCAGATGTCTATTTGTGCACACACAGACACAAAGTGCAAACGAAAGGAATCCTGCAAGCAATGCTCTGCACTCTGAGCTCTGTGTCAGTTGTTCTCGCCTGTTGAGTCCATGGCCAGAGCTCAAAATAAACAATCCGTTCTTCAGCACCCCCCAGTTAAACACAAAGTGGTGACAGACAACCTCAACAGCAGGAGTAAGACCACAGGGACAGTGAGGCCATTCCATTAGGGCGCCAGCAGAGGGTATAAATAGAAAAGAGAGGAGTGGAAACATTACTAATTCTGTGGCACTACTGAAACTTTACAAAAAAGTATACCTTTTCTACTTTAGTTGTTTTTGTTTTCTTTACTTTCACATTATATGCTCTTTTATGCTGTATTAATTATTAATTGCTTTCATTTTTGTGCTTAAGTTCTTCATCCCTCAGTGTACTCAACTGTTTCACTGCTTCAGACACTTATATGTGTATTTATCCTAGCTGGTGGCTCTCTGGGTGTGTTGTGCTGCCCGTTTTAACAAGACTGAAACCACATCTTTGGAGCTTTTAAGATTATATTCAAACAGCATCTGAATATGAGATACTTACTTTTTGAACATCCTCCCGCTCACACAGTGACTGCTAATACCTGGGCTTAGCAAGCACAATCATTTGCCTTCTAAGGCTAGACCAAAGGTAATATTCTTTATGAAAATACACACATAGTTATGATAATGGAATTTTAAATGCATACCGTTATGAGATTCTTCATTATTAAAAGATGCACATTTCTGACCATGCCGAAACTGCTGGAGCATGTCTCCGTATTGCAGATTAATTGCTTCCAAATGCAGAAAATAAGCCTCTGTAATCTTAAACGCAAAAGTTCTCTAATGTGAGTATAACCACAATCTCATTCCGGCACTTATCAAGTTGAATCAACACTGTTGAACATTTTGAATTTTGATGATACCCTAACTCCCAATACCCTAATGTGAATCCATGATATATCAGTGTGGTTGCATTTGCAGATTGTATTATTGTGATTATTATACTGAATATGTATGGTTCTTTGTTTTCAATCTTTATGTATTTTCAGTGTTGGAATTATCTAGAGAATGATGTAACACAGAAAAATAAAAAGCCAGCGTGAAATGTAAAATTCCAGCTGGGAGAAAATTCAGGGCTGTCCTGTTATTTAGTTCCTCCTGTCTTTGTTTACTTTGCTATTGCTCACCATGCTACAGAATGAATACTGCCATGAAAAGAGTTAAAGATCAACCAGACTAAGTCCTGCTTTTAAAGTAATGTCATACACAGACAGGTTAAAAAATGTCTCCATCCAATGATAACTCCCCTGTACATCACTCCCTTGTACATCACTCTACATGCTGTGGGTTGCAAAGTATGAATAAAAAGAAGGTAGCCTTAGTATCCCACCTATGTTGGCACAAAAGTTGTAACAGTGGACTGAGTTGATTAATATTTGTGCCATTAGGAGGTGGGGTATGCATATAATAAAAATTGCAGAGCAGGGACAATTATAATTAATTATTTCAGGTGGGTAGCTGCGTCAGCATGCGTAGGCTTCAAAGGAACAAGTAATAGGTTTATTCCATGCTGCAAAGAGAAGAGAGAAAACACAACGTTTCGGCCGTGGACCCTTCTTCAGGTGCCGTGGAGCCTTCTTTACACCTGAAGAAGGCGCCACGGCCGAAACGCTGTGTTTTCTTTCTTCTCTTTTCAGCATGGAATAAACCTATTACTTGTTCCATGATTAATTATTGCTATAATTAATTATGTATTTTTAAAGCATAATAAAGAAATGGTACTGGCTCAAAATGTGTTAAAAACCAATTTGTTTAAATAAACAAATCCTAGTTGCAATTTAGATACTTTGAGACATGCTTTTTAGGAAGCTTACTTTTAACATTAACATACTTCTAATATATTTCCAGTTATAAGGCTCAAGCCCAGGTATTCAATTTTCATTCTCAGATATTACTTTTGGTTTGTTCTTTTTTTCTTTCATTTCAAGTTCTATTTCAGTATATGGACAAGAGTATGTGATTTGTGATATATATGTAATAAATAATAATGTCCTAGCATAATGGTATTTTATTGGGTTTCTTAATAGGTTTGTACAATAACAAAATCTAGGGTTCTTTCTCATGTATACAGAGTTTAGAGTAACATTTTCACTGTCTTGATTTCAAATTAAACTTTCATAACTGTAAAACCCAAGCTTAAACAAGAATACATTGCATTTCTGCCAAAAAAAATCTTGCAAATGTCACCTACTCCTGACATTTAAGAAACAGGATTTATGAATTTTATGTGCTACCAATCTAATAGGGTTCTATGAATAAATTATTACTTAGTTCATATAAATTCTAGCACAATTGATACCAAACTGATCCAACTGAAGCAGCAGTACCCCAGTCAGCTGGCATGATCAGATAAATAATTAAGTATACCTACAGTCCAAATGCCAAAGTCAAGCAAACAGTTTATGCCCATAATTATTATTTTACTGTGTACCATATATATTCCTGTATACTTCAAATATAGCCCTGTATGAACATCTATGTACACTAAGAAACTATTTTGAGAAAGGAAAAGAACTGCTCTTTCCCCTCAAGACACAATCCTACAATGCCACAAAACCTAATTACAAAAAAACAACACTTTATTCTCAGCAGTGTTCTTGTAACTGCAAAATATTTCAAGTACATATAATTGTAACTTAATCATAATGTCAAATGGTATTCTATATTTGGAAACTGTGCATTCAAACGATCAGCTCCTATTAGATACATTTTCCGATGGCTTCAAAGGATCTTTATAATATCTATTATATGTTTCAGAATGTCTTTTTTTTGCCATTCGTACCCATACTTCTTTAGATGTGAATCCAGTGTAGCACATTAGAGTCCCAATTTACTCTCAAGATAAAAGTGCTATTTGAATGGAAATTAGTTTGCATGCTTTGTGTTTCTACAGTATGTCACTGCTCTGGTGCTGTCATTATTCCAAAACATGTTTTTGCTGTGGCTTTTTTGAAAGAATAAACTATCCTATAAGGTGCTGTTTATCTTGTCTGTTGTACTACCATCACTTCCATAATTGTCCTGGTGTAAAAAAATAAATGTGTCATGTACACAAGTGTCACAAAGGTCAAGAGCCACCTTATTCTCTGAAAAAACAAATTCTCCCTTTGTATTGGCTAAGTAAGGGATGAATTGAGTGTTACTGATAAGCAGATGTTTTGAGTCACCTGAGAGCCCCCCCTCCAATTCTATGGAAGTGACAGATCTGTCTTAAAGAATCTCCTCACAGCCCCCTGAGGAGGATATCTGCAGGAGTCTTGGTTAAGTGCTGTCAGCCAAATTGCCCCTGATTGGCTTTCTCTTATTTCCACTCTATAGCTGCATTTAAAAATGTCTGATTGCAGTGGCTATTTAAGCTAAAGCTGTAGAAAATTGATTTTCAGGAGAAAAGGGAACAAAAATGTTTCATTATTATTGCTTAAAGTGGTTGCTTTTTCTTCTTTGTGTGTTGATGTGATCTGTTTTTTGTGTTCTTCTCAACAGAAAAGTTCTGTTGGGTGAAGGTGTGCACAGTGACTGACATGACTATTTCATCCTATTTTTTTTGTTTAAAATCCTCTATTGAACATAGAATATGTTACAGAGATATCTGTGACCATTTTAAAAGTGAGCTAAAACATCTCTATTTCCAAAATGTCTATTTGAGTTCAATTAAGTCATATGCTCTGCTAGAAGTTGGAATTCAATAGGTTTTATGTTAACGCTATGATCCAACTACAAGAGGAGCATTTTACTGGCCAGAGAGTGGGCTTCATACTTTTATGACTGACCTCACTCAACCTGTTGCTTACTGATTACTCATAAATATGTAGTGCTGCAGCTGTTGTGTCCTCTGCACAATATAAAAGGGCCAAAAATAAAAATAAATAATTGATATTGATCTCAAGTGTATCCGTATCTGCTGAATTCACTTGTGTGAAGGACTCTTTCTTAATAAGAATGTAGAATGAAGTATGGATACTGAGTTAAAGAGAATAGAAAGATCATGCCCTTAAATGGTCATTTTAAATTAACTTCTTCACCGTTCACGCTGTAACAACATAACCTGTAATGCCAGGAAATATGAGTGATAAAAGCTGTTATTATTTTGTAAAGGTGAGCAACTGAAATAAACATTCTTGTAAAAAAGCAAAAGGTGCTGTTCCTCACACGCATTGTCTTCAGCACTTAAAAGAAACTGAGTGAATGTTACTTATTGCTTCCTTCATACTGTATATTGACAGTGCTATAGCTGATATTTATTTAAATCATCATTAACTTGAAACTTTGCTGTAAGACCAAAAGATGTGTTTTATGGGTGCCAGAAATAAAGTGAGCTTATGTCTTGTTACCATAGCATTATGCAAACCCACTAGAATATGACATTATTCTCAGCCCATTTTTGTTGATTTAGTTCACTGCATATTCGGTTAACTTCTCTAATCAATAAATGGGGTTATGTGTAAATGGGAAATAAAAAAATCTTGTCTGTTGAACAGACAAGACTAACTGCAGTTCTGTATATTACTTGTGGCCTAGATGACTCACATATGGTTTCCACCAAATAAAATTGTTAAATTAGGATCTGAACTCAAACTAAAATAACAAGTATTTCTGAGATTCTTAAACATAAATCAAATCCTGCTAAAGATCATCAGCTTTTTTATTAATATAATTTTGCTTAATTTAATGTAGGCGCTGTGAGATGCGGAAGAAAACTAGCAGAACAGACTGAACAGATACTGAAAGGAAAAGCTTAGACGTGTTGTGTTAGTGTGTTTTAAATCAATCATATCATGTGAAATGAATTTCTGGAGTATAGTGCAGGCCCACTGAGACACAATGATCTCATCAGGGGGTGCAGCTGAACAAAATCTACAGCACAAATTAAAAACGCTGGGAAGATGATGATCTATTGGTCCAATAACTGACCACATTTAAGATCCTTGCATCATCTGTTGTTTTTCAAAGAGTCTTTTGTTCAAAGCATGATTGCTGCTTCTGTTTGGTATTTTGGTTCATCTGTGGATTGGAAAATGTGACATATAACAGCGGAAACATGGAAAATGTGAAGAAAATTGCTTGCAACAAAAATCTGACTTCTAGATAGATGAGCAAGAGTGATAACCAGCAGGTTTCAGATAGAGGATTTTAGAGTTCCAATTTGTCATTTTGTTCTCTCTCTTTCTTACTCCTGGCACTTAGGAGATGTCAAAGGGCAGAATCAGTCAGACATCAAGGGTTATCCAATTGCTAAAATGAGATAACCAAACCTCCACTGATTTTCATTGCTAAAAAATACAGTTTGCTTATGTATTTTAACAGGATGCCCCTGCTGTTCTCTGTGCTGTTGCAGATGCTCTGAACACACGAAACAAGCAAGTGATCTGTACCACGTTGAAGGTCCTGCAGCACCTGGTAGTTTCAGGAGAAATGGTGGGAGAGGCACTGGTGCCTTACTACAGGCAGATCCTTCCCATCCTGAATATCTTCAAGAACATGAACAGTGAGTTCTACCTAATTTTGCTCCAGATCAAAGTGGTGTCTTGTGCCCTTGCTCCATCACTGGAGACTTAACATTATGTTATGTTGTTTCTTGCTTTTTGTGATATGAAAGCTAAGCCACTGAAGCTAAGCGGGTGTGAGCCTGGTCAGTACCTGGATGGGAGACCTCCTGGGAAAAACTATGGTTGCTGCTGGAAGAGGTGTTAGTGAGGCCAGCAGGGGGCGCTCACCCTGCGGTCCATGTGGGTCCTAATGCCCCAGTATAGTGATGGGGACACTATACTGTAAACAGGCGCCGTCCTTCGGATGAGATGTAAAACCGAGGTCCTGACTCTCTGTGGTCATTAAAAATCCTAGGGCACTTCTCGAAAAGAGTAGGGGTGTAACCCCGGCATCCTGGCCAAATTCCCATTGGCCCTTACCAATCATGGCCTCCTAATAATCCCCCTCTATGAATTGGCTACATTACTCTGCTCTCCTCCCCACTAATAGCTGATGTGTGATGAGTGTTCTGGCGCACTATGGCTGCCGTCGCATCATCCAGGTGGATGCTGCACATTGGTGGTGGTGGAGGGGAGTCCCCATTACCTGTAAAGCGCTTTGAGTGGAGTGTCCAGAAAAGCGCTATATAAGTATAAGCAATTATTATAATTATTATTATAAATATCACAATGCAACCATAATCCACAATTGCATTGATTTGGTAATGAATATTACTTAAAAACAATGCCAAAGCTATATGAATCTGCAGTAGAGTTAGACATATAAATGGGTTGCTTCTGACTTTATTTGAACGTGTCAATATCCTGGAAATTTGTGTTTTCAGTTTTCTTTCTTTAGAAGTCAGAATTACTAGCAGAACAAAGCACACATACACGCTTACCCTCAGTAGTTAGACATGTTCTTTTGGCTTCCATGTGGTGAATAGGATTATAGGCAGTTAAAAAAAAAAAATAAAAATAACTGTTTGGACAAGAATCTCATTATCTCATTATTGTGTTTTTAGCCATGGCTATAGTTTATGGGATATACTGTATGTTAAACACTGATGCCTCCCACTGAATATGATAGAAAGAACCCCAGATTGAGGAACATCCCAAGACTCACATGTGTTTCTGATCTTTTTAATATAACAATAGTAAGGCCAGTAATTGTTACTATTAGTCACAATAGGGCATTTATAGATTGAGTAAGTGCTACTACATTTCACATAAACTCCAGAGGAAGATCAAAGTTCTTCTGAGGCAGAGGAGGGCAAGCAACATGTTGCACTGGAAATGAATCATTTTGAAGCAGGATTAATAAAAGCGCTTGGTGTGCATTCTTTTTTCTTCACATTTAATCTATATCAATTTTAATCCCATCATTTAATACTATTATATTATCTGTTCTGCTAAAAAGGACATGTATTAATCTTTTTCTTTATGTAACTCTTCTAAATATTAGCTTTCAAATCAATTCCATAGCCATTGAAACTCTGTATTTCATAAATGCAGTAGTTAGCAAGGCTGCCCAGTAGGAATAGTTTATCTTTGGCTGGTAGCTGGCTGTGTACATTAGTTATTTCTTTTCTTTATATCATTTCCCTGCAATTTGGCTGCTATTGAAATTTGACCTTTTGAAATGAGTTACTGGCACTGTTGAATTGATGAAATCGTAATATAGTGAATTATGCCTTGAAAGAACCTGTTGGGAACACAAACATATTCCCTTGTAATTTAGTGTTTGGTCTGTTGAAGTCTCTAACTATAAATATCTTATATAAGGGGCTTTTTAAGGGGAAAGCCAACAAGAGCATTAATTATATTAAGAAAAAATCTTAGTAGCAAGACATTTGAGCATTACAATTCTACTGTACAATGTGAATATTAATATTTTCAGAGAAGATATTCTGAATTGGTAATGACAATTGCTTAAAAACAATAGCAAAGCTATAGGGCTCTGTTGTAGTACTAATCCACATACATAATTCAAAATGTATAAGCTTCCCTTCAGTTCAGAAGTAGCCTACCCAGTCATTACCTGTCCATCCTGTTTCATAAGAAAGTTTATAAATCAAAATCTTCAGGATTTCACCCACACACTAAACCTTCTAATTTTTCATCCTGAGTCGTCAAATCGTACCTACCATTATTATTATTATTATTATTATTATTATTAATAATAATAATAATTAATAATAATTTCTGCTGTTAAGCTTTTCCCTAAATCCTGTGTTGTGTATAAACAATGTATAATCCTTCTCATTGGAAAAATAGAGCTGGATCTGTGCTAAACTGATAGCTTACATGCCAAATTGAAAGATGTACTGTCCAGAAACCCTGTGCCCTCATGCTACACACAGAGGACCTTTATATCTTCAGTTGTAGTAGTGTTCTCTACCAGTTCAAGTCATTTCTTTGTTCAGTCCACTGCAAACAGACAACTTTGTACTGTCCTTCCACAGATCTTCCGCCAATTAAATTCCACGTGCTAGGCACGAATTTCTCATTGCAATTTACTCTTTGAGCCACATACTGGCAGTGATCTAATTTTTGTTTCCCATCTTCAGGTCTATCACTTAGCACTGGTAAATACTGTCTACATCATGTGTGAAGGCAGCACAGCAACAGCAATGAACCATTCTGTACATTTCTGCTGCATAACACAAATTCAGATATTTTGATGATGTTAATGTTTTACCACATGATCTTTTGGTTTTAAGGAACATTTCAGATCAGATTAATTTGGTTCAGTGTGTTTTTCAAAATACAATATTTATTATTATATTTATATTAAGAGCAATATTTTAATCAAGGAAATAGTGCACTCTGTTTTCTTCAAGGCATTCCTAACACAAACAGCTTGTGGAAGTCATAGAGAAGTGATTATTCTCATTTTAAGAAAGTGGAAAACAACACGTGTGCCTAACTAAGCACCTGGTCAGCAGCTCTGGAGAGCTGCAGGGTCTTTTTTATTTACATTCCACCTAGGTGTTTGATTACTTAATTCAACCATTTGTGCAAATAAAACACTAGACGTATGAAGCAGATACTACAATTGGGTGTTGAAGTGAGTCATGAACAACATAGAATGTCCAGTACTGTGGGCTCCAGGCAGGCTGTAGCAGGCTCAAAAAATGTTGTTTGGCTCTGTTTATTTTATCATGTCAGGTGACAAAGGCACATTGTAACCCTGGAATGCCACAGGCATTTGGAAGATTGTGTGGTTCCATAAAATACATGGAGCTGAGGGATCTCATCTCAGAAGGAAAGGAAAAGTGGGATTTGCCTTTGAGATCTGAAAAACCAGACACTGTGGTAAATGGTGTTAGTTGTCTAGGGAGACTTATTAACTTGAGAACACCCAGGGCAACACTGCATTATGCGAAGGACAGCTGAGTATGACTGTCTGCGTATGAGCGATAGAGGCCTTGTAATCAACAAGTGCTGCCTCTGGGAGAGAAAGAAATAGCACACCATTCTGTCTTCTGAGGGTCTGGAGGATTAATGGGAAACCTCCTGACTAAGTGTGATATCAGTCCACAGTACAGTGTGGCAATAGTAAAAACTGCAATGATGTTTAGACCATAAATGTAATGTAAAAACACTAACTTTTTATAAGTTGTGTGATCTGAGTAATTATATTGGCCAATTATACACAGTATACCTTTTTGTTTCATAATATTGTCTTCTCCAGGCTTGAGTGAATTAATTGTCCGAAAACAGCAAAAGGGAGATTTTAACCTGTTTTTTGTCACTGCATGTAACATGAAAGTGCTGTTGGACATCATTCTGTTCCTGTGATGCAATGGAATTGGTTGTAAATCAATGCAGTGTTTAGGTTTCTTCATAACAATTAATTTTTGATTAGTCATCTACTTTATTACAGAAGTATGAATGCTCTTTATTTTAAATTTATTTTGATTTAGTTTGATTGCACAAGGGATATTCACACACACATATATATATACTTATATATATATACTTAATGCCATCGACTTAGCATGATGATGACTATGACCTAAGCAAGAAACTGATCACAGCAGCAGTATTTCTGTCATGATCAGATCACAGTTTTAATAGAGAACTCTTGACTCTGTCTCATCATTAATGTTGTCTTTCTGTTGCAATTTTAGAATATGAATGAACTTATGCAGTTAACAATAATTCTGACGTTGTATCTTAGTGACAACTAAAGCAAATTTTCAAATTCCAAAGGAAGTAAAAATGACATTGATGGTGATTAAGCATCCATTTTACTTGTGTCCTCTTTGAAATAATGTTTCTTGTTTTGTTTTTTCTCTTATCTTTGTAGTGTAGGTCTTTTATATGCTATTCATCACTGCCAGCCCTTGTGTGATCTAGCTAATTTTGCCCCTTTTATCTTCCTGCTAGGAATGTGGCCAACATAGATAACATTTTGCAGTGGCTTACTTCCCTGTCTGTCTGTATAGCACATTTTTTCTCTTGACAAAATTTCAGAAAAGCCTCACTTAGGTCCCCCATGGAGAAAGGTTTCCCACATTACAAAGTGATTACGTTTGACTGACACAAAGACTGACCCTTAAACAGTGAAATATTAATTCTGTTTTGGGATATGCATTGTGATTTTTTGCTAATTCATAATCTACTAAGTAAAGTATTATTCTAATATACTATTATTGACATTTGTTATAAAAATAGTTCATTAAATGTGTGGATGGTGGTAATAATAATAGGAATTTGTATTGATATTTTAACTATTCTTTTTTTATTTTAAATGAATGGATTTTGAAACCTTTTCAACAGCTTATACCAAACCACTTATTAATGGAAAATATAACCTGCAAGTTAATACCTTACTTAAATACGGTAGAACCATATTTAGTTTTTGCATATTTATTAAATTTAGCTGTCCCTGTATGTATGCTACTATCATCTCTTGATTCATACCATCTGAAATACAGTTTGTCATGGATCTTTTTGTGCTGTTGTTCCTTATCTTATGTTTTGTGATTTTCTTAATTAATACATTGCTTTG